AATCACTCTCGCATAAACATTGAAAAATAACTCACGATGCCAAAATAAGTTTCAATATTGTGTTAATGTCTCAATGTGAGAACCGAAATCCAATTGATGATTAAAAATATTTTCTATCGTCTTTTTAGTTTCTTATTACTTTTTATTACTTTTATTACTTTTTGTAGTTATTACTTACTACTTGGTAATAAGTAATAACAGTTATTACTTATTACCAAGTAATAAGGTAATAACAGTTATTACCTTATCACTTATTACTTTTATTACTTTTGAAATTTATTACTTATTACCAAGTAATAAGTAATAACGCTTTTGTTATTACTTATTACTAGTAATAGTAATGTAGCAGCCCTAGTAAAGATTCGAGTGTAGTCATCATATACAAGGACGACATATGTGTGCATGACCAAATAGGTGTACTACTAATACCATCATTTTGATCATGCTTGAATGAGAATGTTTTGCCTAACGGAGAAACATAAGGCCTCTAACATTCGAATAGAGATGTAGCTATTCTTTAAGGATTCTTGCGTCGTATAAATTCTTGAAGCAATCTTTGTCTATGATTTTTCGTTTCAAGATCTTGTAATGAAAAAAAATCTGATTGATTTTTTCAGAACTCGCGAAGAACTAATAGAAACGCGAATAGAAACATAGAAATAGAAACGCGAACTAAGTAGGCAAGCAAACAACATGATGCACGGGCAACTATAGGACACATTCGTCGAAGGAAAAATCTTGAAAGTCAAAGATGTTCTCGGTCAGACTGGTGCCTATATTGAATTGTGTCTAGATAAAGACTATTAACAACAAACATCAACAATTAACGATACAAACAATCATATCTGGAATGCGACGTTAAACATGTAAGTTCTATTTACATTTTTGGGCGTTTACGAGAAAGCAGCTGTCGACGGAGACCAGGTCGAGTATACAACCAACTTTTAGGATACGCCCGGCATTGAATCATGAACAGAATCATGCCTTATACACAACACAGCATCGCACATTTTGACAAATATGCTCTTTGAGCGTGTGTGAATAGTGAACCCTATGTGGACAATCGTATCGGTCTCGATATACCTCGTGAAGGGATTGATGAGCTCATCTATGCCATTGCTACTTCGCTGCCTGGTGATGATGAACGCCTTCTCGGCTGGTTTTTAGCTATGGCCAACAATACACACTTCTGGGAAAGCATGAGTGAACCGTTGAGTCAACACATTCAACAAGCGTTTCAAAGTATTTGGGATCTGGTTGGAGTATTGGCAGAACGAGTTCAACAATGGCCACCGCTGCCATTATCTGACACGATCCCCCGACCACCTCCGCTTTCACCGAACTCCTCGTTGTCGGAACAAGACAAGAGCAATACAAAATGTGAATATATTCTTATGTGATTCTAAATCTACATTAACCTATTGAAAAAGAGAATAAATGAAGAGGAATCCGAACTCAAGCCATCTGATGTGCCCCTTAAGAAAGGTCCAAATCACGAGCATGACAGCTCATATTCACCACCGCTTTCTAAGAGTTATCCGTCACTGTGTGCCACAGTTTTCTTGTTCTCTGCTATGGAGACAATAATTCGGTGTACACACAGAACCGCAGGTTGTCTTGTTTTGGGAAGTTTTCGCAAAGCGTGACAGACGAGAAGGAATCCTCAATGAAGAAGAATTCAAATTCAAGCCATCTGATCCTTAAGCAAGGTCGAAATCGCGATCATGGCAGCTCATACTCACTCTCACACATCCTCAGCCTCACTCTGAGTTATTAGTGAGTAATTCTTTGATAGAGTTATGGAAAATTGTGCAGAGTAGATAAATTTAGCGCCAGAATAACTTTGTTCTTCGGGTAATTCATATAATGAAATGTGCTTGATCAATGCCACCTAACGAAACCTCTAGCAGGGCCGAAATTCGAATTGTAGTACCTGTACTCTATTCCAAGGGAGAAACAGCTGATTTTTAGAATTTTCCGATTTTCATCGAATGAAAAGTCACCGGCAATGACTGGAAGTCACTGGAAATAACAGAGAATCACTGAAAATCAATTGATTTCTGGCTGATTTTGGGTAGGCATGCACCCATACCAATCATTATTGAAGATTTTGTACAATATTATTGGGTACAGTAAAGATTTAATCAGGTTATCTTTTTCGATAAAAAGCTTTTAGTTTGCACATTTTACTCGCAGCTTACGCGAATGCTACGCAAGAGAAGAGAAACGAAATACATCCTAAAAGCACACGCTACGTGAGTTCATTGCTTCTCAACGTCTTCTTCACGCTAGAAAAAACGAGGAAATATCTGATAACACTCAGACTCAGCTTGGACAGTAGAGTCTTGATCAAGCTATCGTTTTCATTAAGCAGATTTCATTTTGCACTAACACTTTTTGAAGAAAGTTGAGAATACTCATGGTCACGTAAAGGTGACTTTAACACACAGATTAAACGAGATTTTGCATGGAAAACCTTCCAGTAGCTCAGGTGATCTCTCCTCTCACTGTTGATATAGGTTTTTCAGGCTTGAATCTTTTAAAATGCTTTTGGCACGATAACTGACTTCCGAGTTGCTTATTTTGATATAGATGTCTCAAAATGAGTACATACTACTTTAATTCCAAACGAGTAGTTGTCGATAATCTGTAGAACTGTTAAGTATCGGAAGTTCATTCACAGATGTCGAATAATGAGGCTTAAAATACGCTCTTGAACAGAAACAAGACTCACTACACAAGTATGAACAGTTATTACGAGATGACTTCTCCCTTTCTCTGTGTAGATGCAGTCTCATCTTCTCTCGTCTCTTCTATTAACTGAGGCATCTGAGGCGTTTGAGATTTTTTGTTTTAAAGTTTATTTAATAACAAAAAGAAATGAAAGAAGTTAAGTTTGACATAAAATATAAAATTCATAGAGTTCTTTTACATTCATTGATCTGGACCAAATACATTTGTTTCAATTTGTTAAGCAAGTCGTTCTGTCTCTCGATGTTCTTGTTGAAGTTGTGCTTTTCTTTGTTTTACATCTTCGAGTTTCTTATTGAAATCTGCACTTGATCGTTTTACTTTTTCAATTAACCGGCAGACATTCTAACTCACCACCCAGAAAATTATACACCTTCGATTCTGCTCGATCCATTGTTTGTGAGTGGATTCAGCTTCAACTCAAAGAAAAGAAATGAGAAAAAGTATGTTGTTTAAAAGAAGATTATAATTTCAAATCTATCGGCACGTGTGCAGCGACGTCTGCAGTTTACAGATAGTTTCGAGTGTATAACTTAAAATTGTTTCACCAGTTCGACATCTCTTAAAAGTTAAAAGTCCTAATGAGTGCATTCAGTACAGCCTGTCCAAAACTTTCTGTCAACTAGATTAACCTACAGTCAGGTATCAGAAAACAAAATTTAAATCCACACTAACTTGCCACTGAATAACAGTGTGATTAACAGATATTTGGACGCGCGACATTAAGGAGGAACGACATTGGGGAGCAGCGACGTTCGGGCGTAACGGCATTTGGGCGCATGTACCACAAAAGCATTCAGTAAGAGTGCATTTGCTAAAGTATGATGCATAATGATAAAATTTTCTTTAAACAAACTTGGTACGATGTGAAAGCTTTTTCTATATTACTCATATCCAACTGTAATCACTTTTTGTTTAATCTTCATCGATCTTCACCCTTACCCGCACCGGCGCCGTTGAATCTCAACTGTCGTTGCGCCCAAATGTGGTGCGCGCGCAAGTGTCGGTATACCAACAATTGTATTTGTGTATTGTCTGTCTGTCGAACTTTTATTGTTGTTAACTGTGAATGTGAAATGGGTGAATGAATGCTAAACAAAAAAAATGAAATGTACTAGTATTTATACCCCTGTTCTATTTCTGCTTTTTTCTATTTTATTCGTTTCTAATCAGACTGACTTTTTAACTATACTGTCTGATAAGAAAAGAATAAACAATACAGAGAGCAGATAAAGTCATATATTTCTCCTTCTTACGCTAAAAACAGTGACAGTTACATGACTGTTATCTGTGGTGGTTCTTGTTGTAGCTCTAAACCAGTTTATTTGAAACTAAGTAAAACAGAGTGGACGTAACCCATTATATGTTGAGAGAGAGTGAAGCAACAAAGTAAGAGAAAGAAAAAGGAAAAAAACAAACAAACTAATTTGCAGGAAGAAATCATTAAGACAATACATATAGAAACAGTAATAAAAATACTGTATAGTAAAAAGAAAGAACAAAATAAGAATACAATTCAGAAAATTAATCTGAATGGATGATCTAAACAGAAGAGAGCGAGGAGAGTGGGAAGTAATCTGTCTGGCAGGGTGAATAGTTGAGTCGCAAGAAAACGAAATAAACAGCATTGAAAACGAAATACTACCGCTGTAGTTGAAAAACTGAAAATGACTATAAAGTTTATCTATTTTTTTTCTTTCTTCCAGTCACATTTATCTATCTAGAGGCAATGTACAAAACGGTGAGAAGTAGACTTATGCTATATCAAAAAAATTTCTTTCAATTTGGTTCATTGGACAGTAAAATCCTCCCTGGCGTTAGATAAAAATAGGATGAAATTAATGTGTTCAACTTAATTATTTCTAATTTTTTTCTTCGAATGAAGATGTCTTTACAGTTACTAATTGTGATGTTCGGGGAGAGGATTTGCGCCTATTTTCAGCCGATGAGAATTCCTGAATTTGCATATCGCAGAGCACTCTTTCTCCCTTTTCTTCATCGTGGCGTCAGTGAAACCACCAGTTTGTATTGCATTTAGCAAAACAAAACTTTTTTTTAAAATTGTATTGTGATTTCATTTAACATGTTAGTCAAAAAAAGCGTTGACAGCATTCTATGAGCCATATTTTTCTGATTTGCATTTATCGATCCGCCAGATGCGTGAAATTCATTCTTATTCCATCAAAAATAATTATTTTTCTACCACTTTCCAAGTCACACTTTTTTGTAATCAAAGTCTTACAAACCTTTTGCCAAAGTTGTAAGCGGAGGTTTTCAAACTGCATTTGCTAACATGTGTCAGCTGATTATTAACATCGAAATCAGAGGAACAAATATGGTTTTTAGTGTCTCCAGATTTTCTATACACGATAAAAACTAAAGAAACAGTAGAATATCAAACAAGTTTTTGATTCCCAGTGAAGGTGAACAAGCAGACACAGCCTAGCTATCTCGTACTGCAGATCTTGACCTTTTCTTCTTTTGTAATCAAACTTTTTAAGAGAGATGAACTTCTCCAGTAAGAAGGACTAAAAAGATTGACTCTGTGTCTCAGAATCAGAGGAAAAACAGCATTTTCATTCTTTCATGTATGCATTTCCATCTGTGTATGATCGGAATTATTTTTTGAATCAAAAAATGATTAATCAATCGATTTATTGTATATTGCATCTACAACTGGTTTCCTCTTCATCTTCATCCGAATCTTGAATTGCACTTAAATTGTTTTCTAATTCCTGACATAATCCAATTCCAAATCATTCTCGTTAATGTCTTCAAAGTAAATGAACCAAAAGACTCATAACCGACTTCGTTATTTTCGTAGAATTCCATTTATTTAGTAAATAACTTATTTGGTATTTACTTTTCTTCTTAGTTGTTTATTTTATTGTTTGCCACTATTTTCGGTACTAACACGCACCTTTTTCAGTAGCAGTTTAAGGCACACACCCCCGTCAGAAACATAAATTTTTTATCAAAAGTCGATATTGAGCTAAGCACATCATCAGATAGCCCACAGTATCCGCTATCAGAATCCAATGTTACTTGGTCGTCAGCGAAGCGGTATGGAGGTTTCTAGAAAAGTTTTATGAAAACCTTGAAAAGCTGGCTTTTCGAAAAAATTTTACTTTCCGATCAAAAAGCAAATCGAAAATTACTTTTAGTACATAGGAAAATAGAGCAAACATTTCTGATCAAAATGAGATATTCGCCAGCTCTGAATGATGTTCTAATCAAGAGTTATGAGAGTTTTGCTGGAAGCCCTAAAACATGCATCTGATACTAGTACCACCATATCTCATACATTTACGGATTATAATTAGCAAACTTATATGATCTAACGTAATTTTATCCGTAGATCACGAATTTGTCCATTATTCTTTGTAAAAATAAATACTAACTAAAACCAATTACAGTAATGGCCCAAAAAGGTAGTCAAAAAGGCACTGAAAAACATTAGAAGCTGTTTCTTTTAAATATTTTAAATTCGCCCTTACTTCTGAAAACGGTTTTTAATAGAGTGAACATTGGAGACTGTTACCATATACTTGGTTTAGATTCCTACTGTTACTGCACGCAGAAAAACTTCAGTCTTTTTGTTGGAGCGATGCTTCTAAATTAAGAGCTGAAACATGCTAATGTTAATAGTCGGATAGCGCACTCTCTTCTCTATCGATCCATATGAAAAGATCATTAATGGACATATGGCTGTTGAAAAGTAAAATTTTTTCTAATGGGTTCTATCTGCGACCCCGAAAGAGAACGATACTTTATTTTGGCTATAACTTTTTAAGGAAAGGTCCGAGAAAGTTCATCCTTTCAGATTCACTTTTTCAGTGTCACAGCGTTGCCGTTTTTCTGGTTTTTCTTTGATTGATACAGATTAATTAGAATAGTTTCGAACTTGACAAGCTATCACATCTTGTAGAGCGAACAATTTTCTACAAACTGGTATACCTGTTCAATGGTATCTAAATTGACCCTTAAGTCATATTTTAGAAAGGCTATTTTCTGGATACGAGATTATCCTTTAAAATAAACAGTCCTGGAAGAAACAAAGAAAAGAAAGTTGGTTCTGAAGTTTTTTGCCACTTTAGCATATTGAATGCAAATACTAGTCTAACGCCTTTTTATTTTTATTATAGAAAGTTTTGAAGCATTGCGAGAGAAAGACTTAAATTAAATATAATCGACCGAGTAAATACGATAAAACTTCGAGAAACACTTAAAAATGCTTATATCGTTCAAAATAAAAGTTTTTGTATTTTCCAGCCATGCATAAACATATCAAAAAGAAAAAGTCATGGAAACTTCGAATTACAGGCACCTCACTCAAAATAATCTCGGTCTTCTTCAAAATTCAGCTCTTCACAGACTCATCTATTCTTCAAGTCAAAATCATCTTTCCACTCAAGATTCTAATTTTTTATTTTAAAATATAACTTCTTTCACAGTACAACAGCAAAATCAATCTTTTCTATGCATTATGGCCTCGCCTTGTCAGCAACAGTTACATCCTCCATCGTCATTTCAAAATTACTCGAATATTTCTACGCCTAAACAATTAAAATCTACACTATTTGGCCCAAAAATGGCTCCGAAACAAAACATAAATCTGTTAAAAAATGTCATTTTGGCTAATAGTTTACTTCGTTACGTAAGGACAACTGATCTTTAAAAATTAGACTGACAGTTATTTCTTTGTACTATACCAGATTGTACATTCGCTCGTCTGAAATTTCTTATTGATAACTGGCATTTACACTATCTTCTGCATGTTTTCATTCTATTATTCTGTTAATTGGCACAAAAAGCGCATTATTTTCAAATGTGAGCCATTCTTCTTTCCTTAAACAAGTGAATGTTCTTGTTCAACTGATAAAAGATTACTGTCAAAATGCCAAAATAAATATTTCAAGTATTTATTGTTGTTGATTTTTCAAGATTGTGGATGGTTTTGAAAAAAATTCTAGAATCAGGAACAAAAGAAGTTGTTCAATAAAACTTTCGACTTCCAGGTAACTTTGTCTGTAGCTTCGAATGAAATATTGCAGTCGAAAATAAGTCGTATGATATTTTTCAGATGGAGTAGTCGCTACGGAAAAAAATCCCAAGGAATTTGAAACTGAATTATTTTCGGAAAGATTATTAGCCAATGAACAGATCTATCCAAGCAATTAAAAATCACATGACCTTTATTATAAAAAGTTCACTGTTTGTAGGTGCAATGGAAAGATCTCTTGCAGAAAATTGTGCTCTATAAGCGGATGCATAAAGAAATGCTTTGACAATAAACATTAAGTATTTATTATCAAAACGAAAAACGTTTCTGGTTCAAACGAAATTTGCTAGATTTTCAACATCCCTTTCTTCGGGTCTAAAAGTCACGAAAACATTGGTTTGAGAACATATTCGGAAGGAGCACAAAGTTCTATTTCTAACACGCTTCTGTCGCCATTTTTCTCAACTATACTCAACTGGTAAAACAAGCGACAGTACATTTTTCCAGTAAACTTTCGTTGCATACGTCACTCGACCTTGTGTCACCGTATGTTTACGATGAACAGTCATACTTTAAGTACAATTCAATGTATAATCTGCAGAAAAATGGACAAATCTGGCTAGATAAGCATACGAAGTATATGAATAGAGTAGAAGTTACTTTGAATTTTTATTGTGGAAACTCTTTGACATTTTTCGACGGCGTTTTAAAAGGATATGATCGAGTGGAATATTGACCCTAACATTTGATAATATTACTCAATGAACATATGAAAATGTATTTTAGATTGAACGTTCCAAACATTCATCGTTTATCATTATCATTTAGACTTGACTATGTAAGCGACTGTGATACCGACGATGGTGGCACCTTAACGTGTCAAATTCGTACGGTTAGAATTAATAGATTATTTCTCAATTTTGATGGTTTTGGAGAAAGTAGTTTCATTATATTATATTTTTTTGATGGTTATGTTGTTCGTTTCGTGCTTCAAAGATACTGTGCTCGAACCTCAGCGCCGGTAGGTCATATAATAATCTTGCGCAAGTTGCTTATGTTCATGTGCCTTGGATCAGCCATCCGATAGCATACTTACTTGGGTATGACGTACAATACAGCTCCTTAAGTGGCTGGACGAAAGTGCCATTCGGCAGCACTCCACCATCAGTAACGCAATGTGGAATATTCTTCCTTCTTCCTATTTTGTGTATATGTACTGTAGCGTCTCCAATGGCTCGAAAATTTGTTCACTGAAAATTTGCCTCTATTTGACATTATCCCTTACTAACAGAACTTTTAGACTACGAAAGGTCCTCTAGCATGGAATGAATTTGAGTCATATTTATATATATGATCTCTACAGGTCATTACAGTACTTTGTAGATGAATGAATGAATGAAGTTTATTTTGTAAAAGAACACATGGAAATTACAAGAAAGCTAGAGCTTGTTTGAATGTAACACCAGATAAAATAAAAGCTCACACTCATACACACATACACATACACACAGCAAGAATTTAGACAGTAAAAAGATGTTGTTTTAATACAGCTGAAAATGCTCTTAGCGTATTCTGATGAACAACAGTACAAGGCAATTTGTTCCAGTTCTCTCTAGTTTTTGGTACAAAAGAACCGGAAGTAGATTTTAGGGTGTTCTGGTACTGGACCCGTTTGTTATGTGAGTTTCTCTCAGTTTGACAGGTCGATGGACGACTGATAAGACTGCTATCAGAAAGAGCACTGCAACCATGGTAAAGTTTATAGAAATAAACTAAACGTGAAAATTTTCTCCGAGAGGATAATGGTGGTAAATTCAACTGACTCGAAAGGATAGTAGAATTGGATACATAGTCTTTTAGTATAATTCTACATGCTGGATTCTGTACTTTGTCTAATACAGATAAGTGAGTGGAATAGGATGAATTATAAATGATAGAACCATACTCCAAAGCCGGACGAACACAAGTTTTATACAAGTGAAGATGTAACGAAGGTGGAGCGTCCCTAAACACACGAGAAATAGATCCCAACATCTTTGTACAATTAGACGCAATATGTTCTAAGTGGCGTTTCCAAGTGAGGTCATGAACAAGTCTCATGCCAAGTAATTTTATGGCTGTTGAGCGTTCAATTTTTATATCATTAATAGTAAGTGACATGGATGGATAGGTATTAGGTACAGTAGAAAATATTATCCACTCACATTTTTTTATACTGAGACCAACGAAGTCTGGTAGTTAAACGAACAGAAATAGAAATAACTGTATAATTATCATTGTGTTATTCAATCAGTTCACGTATACGATTAACGATTATACCCGAATCCTGTCCCATAGGTATTACCAAATCCATCACTAAAATCATTATCGCTTTGCCAATTACTGTTATTGGCATCAGAATTTCGGTTATCTCCATATTGATCATTGTAATTATAATCATCGTTCTGTTGCTGTTGTTGTTGTTGATAGCCACTATTATCATCGTAATAGTTATTTTGACTATATCCATCCCTATCATAATCATTATCGTCGTTTCGTTTGTAACGTTGTTGACGCCCTCCACCATCACCACCACCAAAACGATTATCTGACTTCTGATTATTATAATCGTCAGAATATCCATACGGTTGATTATTGTTGTCATCATCGTCTTCTAAATGTTCAATCGTTCTTCCATTATCATCGTCATCATAATTGTTATCGTTCCAATTATTAGCTTGACTGTAATCAACCGAATCTTCGTTATCCCAATGATCAGAACCAAAATCATCATTCGATATTTTTCTAATTGTCCAAGTATCAAAACACAGTTCGCTATTAGTTAAATAATCATATGGAATATAGCAATATCCATGATCTCCCTAAATAAAAAAGAAATTCAGTGGTTCAATGAATATTGGACCGATAAAGGCTTACCCAACCATCACCCCAAGAATTGCGTACTATAAAAGATTGTGATGTGTCACTAAACCCAACGGCCAATAATGCATGACTGTAATTAAATTAAAAAAAACTAAGTTTTTTTTCTCTGATAACATAAGTAATTGAATATACCTTCCATGTGATTGACGACTTCTTTCCGACGAACTTGGCATTGGCACAACACCCGAGTGAGTTGCTTTGTCAAATGATTCAAACAATTTTAAACCAAACGCAAATGGAAAGCCTTGCGCAAGGCATGATTTCATTTCGTACAGATCAATTTTAATTTGTAAAGCTTCGTCAATAATAAATCGTTTTGCTTCTTGATAAGCTTGAGGAAATGGTTTTACATTAACTTTCGCTATATCGTATGGCCATAAGGATTCTAGACAAGCACCATATTCTTCCAATGCTTCAATAGCCACTGTCATACTGCATCCAGAATCTGTGATTTGACTATCAGAGTCATCTTTTTCTTTCATACGTCCATTATAATACATAAACAAGCGACTTACATCTTTATCTTGACCTGTATGCTTTTTAATAAGATACTCATAAGCACCTTAAAGAAGAAAATAAACAATATTTTGTTATAAGTACATGTATTTTGCTTTACCAGCAAGACAATTTGCTGAACTAAAAAATAAAAACTCTATGGTGATTAACTTGAAAATATCACTCGATTCTTTTTCTTACCAACTTCCAATTTGTGATTGATCTTCAACCGGGGTTAATTGGGATCTTAAATCAGCTTTTGACGGTAATTCATCTGGACTATATTTAATAATATGAGTAAACTTTTTTCGAAGATTATGTTTCGCAGGTAGTCGATTTGATGGTTTTAGTCCATTCAAACGAAATCGACGATCTTTCATGCGATTTATAAGAAATGTTTTTAACGTCATTAGTCGTCACTACAAGAGAAGATCGAGGTTTCAAGCTAAAGTCAAAAAAGAGCGCCCAGTTATGAGCAGAGATAGACGAGTATGAGGGCGTACTCGACTACGTAATTTATGATATTCGTATTTGCGATATTTTTTAGTGATTACTCCAAAAAGTACTGGAGCACTTGAGTTTTCAGAAAGGGTTTTCCCTGGTGTATTTGCATACAACGGCATAAAAATCGGTATGTTCAAAAGTGATCTAATATTAATCCGTACAGAATAAATGTTTTATGAGAAACGTTGATTTTGACATATAGACCGTTATGTTGATATACGTACGTGTATATAACGCTTTCTTTTACTAGCTCGAATATTCTTGACTCTTGAAAGCAGAAAGTGTAGGCAGTAATCTTATGTATATATTTCCAAATTTAACTAGATTGGTTATGAAATATTTAAGACCAATGTTATTTGGTCCTTATAGAAGGGGTATGGAGGTTTTTAGAAAAGTTTTATGAAAACCTTGAAAAGCTGGCTTTTCGAAGAAGTTTTACTTTCCGATCAAAAAGCAAATCTGAAATTACTTTTAGTATATAGGAAAATAGAGCAAACATTTCTGATCAAAATGAGATATCTGCCAGCTCTGAATGATGTTCTAATCAAGAGTTATGAGAGTTTTGCTGGAAGCCCTAAAACATGCATCTGATACTGGCGCCACCATATCTCGAAAGCGACTTTCACCTTAACACCATTTCGTAGCTGTAAGATTTCTCGATAATGAAACATCGCAGAGAGCTTGGGAAGGTCTTAAACTGAAGCTGAGACATATGACCAGAGGCTAATAGAGCCTCGTTTTGATATTCGGTGTAGATTTGTGATTAGAAAAATACCTTTAATGTAAGTTAATGAGACTTTTTCGAATTCTGGGCTTTTGTCGTTGACCATTAATTTGAAAAGTAAAACATCAAAAGTCCGACTCTATTAGCCTCTAGCCACATGTTTTATCATCAACTTAAGACCAGCCCGAGCTCTCCACAACGTTAGTTACTCACAAAACTTGCAACTGTCAATAGCCCCATTTTGGTCACTGTTGTGGAGACATCTCACAAACCATGCTAGATGGAGCCATACAAAAACTTTCGTCACCTTACTTTCACAGGATCAGCATCTCCTAAAAGTTTGGCCAGGATCGGACTTATACTTTCAGAGATAGGTTTCTGACGGGGCGGGCCTTAATAATCCCAGTCATCTCAGTTCTCACTGAATGTATATTTTCGAAGAGCGGTACCATCATGAGTTCTTTAATCGAAACTCTGTTTCTCAACATTGTGTTTGTTGACATTTTTAAAATGTAGCAAAAACTAGTTATGATATTTTTGTGTTTTAGAAGCATGTGTGTATCTTAATGTCTTTTTTCTCTTGATGGTAAAGGATGTTAACACTGATGTGTGAGAACAAAGCTTTTTAAGTGATCATCACGGGAGAGCAATCGTTGAAATATAAAAATGAATCATTTTCCTACGTTGTTAGAAAACACTTGTACTCAAGTATACGCGAATTTATTTTTTCAATACTCGGACTTGACACGAAGCACTCGAAAAACCATGTACTTGCACATCTCAGGTCATGATATAAGGTGCCACTAATTCAAAGCTACGACACTATTTTATTTTCTCAATAGTTACACATGGTTGGATAGAGGAGAGCGAGCTGAATCCGAAAATCACCGTTAAAATCTTCACTTTTTCTAAATCAGGAGCGAAACAATCGAATTGTGCCCATAATTCTGGATTTTCTCATCCAGAACTCAACTTTTATGAAATAAAAGTATCATATTCAGAGTCAGCGTCCAAAACCGAGTGGAACGGCATATGTTTTGAAAATTTTTGTTGATTTTCACTTTTTGGTGAAAATCGCAGTAATTTTTCGACCTGAAAATTCGAAAAAAACAAAAGTGGTCAGATAGGATAAAAAGGTACATCACCCGGCTCGGTTCCGAACGCTGACTCCGAATATGATACTTTTATTGCATAAAAGTTGAGTTCTGGATGAGAAAATCGAGAATTACGGGCATAATTTCGATTTTTCGCTCCTGGTTTAGAAAAAGTGAAATTTCTCAACAGGAAAGGAAAAAATCAGAAATCTGCAGCTATAACTTTGTTCTCCGCTTGAAGGCGGTTCGAATGCCGTGTGAAACAAGGCTTCATCTCTTAAGACAAGAGACGTGATGCTTTTTTGAGCGGCGGGTTACGGTTTTGAATTCCCTTGGAAACGAATTTTTTCTCTACACGCTTCAAAACCACATTTGCATATGCAGTTTGCAATGCTGATTCAGAAAAAAAATGTTTCAAAGCGCCGAAATGCAATGAGAAAAACCCATCGTCGTTCTTCTCGAAGGGTGAGTTTTCTCGATTTTAGCATCCTTCCCGTAGTTTTCGTTTTTCATCGTGAGGGTAAGGTCTGGGAAGATTTTAAAGGTGATTTTCGGATTCAGCTCGCTCTTCTCTATCCAACCATGTGTAACTATTGAGAAAATAAAATAGTGTCGTAACTTTGGATTAGCGGCGCCTTACTTCATTGATTGCAAGTTGTACTACCGTCTGTCCATCAAAAGAATGACTTTTACCATTTTTTGAATAACTCAAGAACAAAAAGCGATAAATCCTTGCGGTTTTCACTATTATATATGATAAAGTATCCTCTCCAAAATGGAAGCCAAGCGAGATCTTAATTTTCAGTGGTTCTGGTGTGATATCCGATTTCCTTGGAGCTCCTGGACTAGTACCCGAGTACTTGGCGGTTTTAGAAGCCTTTTGAAGAAAATATCTCGATTGGATATTTACGTTTAACGTACAAAATTAAGCATATTCTGATGTTTTCAACTCATTCTGACGTTTTTTGAATGAGTTATGAATTTTTTAATATTAATCGAAAACCACGAAACTCTAATTTTTGTAAAACTTGGCTTTCACCGGCTTCTTGAAAAATTTCTTCGAGAACAAACATTGTCATGAGACTCAACGTGGGCGATTATGTGCGCTTCATGTCATTTCAAGGTTAGCCCAAGTACCCAGGTACCAGTCCTGGAGCTCAAAGGAAATTGGATACCATACCCGAATCACTAAAAACTAATACTTCGCTTGACTCCCATTTTGGAGAGGATACTTTACGATATATAATGGTGAAAACCGCAAGTCTCTGTCTCTTTTCAATCTTGACTTATTCAAAAAAACAGTTAAGACCACTCTTTTAATGAACAGAAAGTAAGAGAAGGAGTCAAGAAGCCTATCGCGCTTCTCTTTGACATATGAAAGCATGACTTTTTTCTTAACGAATAATGTGACAGAGGGAAGCTGCGTTTTAAAAGGAACACTTTCAAATAGGTAAAAGGAGCCGACTTAAACTAAACATTCACAGGTTTAAATGCAGTTGTATGTTCAGTGCGTGAAATTAAAACGGAACAAAACATTCATACTTAAACGCTTACAATTTAATTCTTCTTTGGTACGTTTTAATGTGAAATAAAATCTTCTTCGTTCTTGTTATAAAAACTTGTGTTTATACTTTCCTATTTTTTTCTTTTATTTTTTTGCACAGTTGGAATTCAAGTCGGTCGTTGTTCCACGCTCATTCATCATATTCTTCTTTCTTATTTTTTTTTCATTTCGTTATATTGTATACGCTATGCCTATATGTCGTTCCTTTGAATGAATAATGTAATTAATTTTTCTTTCTCAGTCATTTTTTTCTTTACTTCAATGTTTTTTTTATCTTCTGTCATCAAAGAAAAATCAATATGACTATTCAAGAAACTATTCATTATGCCATGTGTACATGAATCATCTATGTTCTTGTGCACTTTATTTTTATGTGTGTAACAAAAATGCCACCAAATTCTAATCAAAGACTGGCCGAAACATGAACAAACTTAAACACGGTGATCAAATAATCAAAAAATCTCGTATTTGTGCTTCTATACACCTTATAGTCAACAGAAAAGCCGACAATTAGATGGTTTTATATTATGGTATTCAACCGCCAGACATCTCACAATTTAATGAAGTCAATTAAAATACAATAAGACATGGTTAGATTTCTGATCTTTTTTGATTGAGGTAATTCGGACTTGTCAGCTATTTTTCTTGGAGTAATTTGGGCAGGTGCGTTCAAATACATGGAGTTTCCTGAAACAAACATCTGGTGCTTTTCAGAAGTAGATTTCTGACATACTCTTCACGTAAAAGGTATTCGTCATGTCATTACCTACAACATGCGTGAAAATTGCATCTCAATAACTCAAGATCAGCAGGCGCTATGATCCCAAATATTTTGATATAATTTTACATATATTATGGTAATGGAATTACCCAGTGTTATTAAATATGCTCATTAATTAAGAGCAATTCATGGAAAAATATTATGGACTGTACTCTTATGAGTTGAATAAAAAAAATGAGACATGAAATTCGATTAAAATTAAGGCAGATAATATCGGAACAAGAGATAGATATTCATGAAACAAATATCAAAATGCTTACAAAAACTGGTTCGATACCTTTAATTGTTTAATGGGTACTGACGTACGAATTTGATTAAGGTAAGTACCTCGCATCTCGCAAAATACGATATCTGGTTTATTTTACTTTAATATTAATGTTTATGTCTTATAATCATTGATTATTGTATTATATTGCAGAGATATCGTATTCTGCGCGATGCTAGATACTTACCTTAATCAAATTCTCAAAACACATAACTTGATTTAGTTTTCGATGCTGATCACGAATATGGGCTTGGTTTTGCTATAAAGTGCTTTCTTCATGGAGAAAAACACAAAAGAAAGTTATATCATATTTTCGTTTTCTTTTTTTTTAGGGAAAGGAAAGCGGGAAAGTAAAAACTTTCCTTTTCCAAAGGAAAGGAAAGTCAGTTTTTACTTCTCTTTTTTTGGGAAAGGAACAACAAAGTACCACTCCAATTGAGATCTCTTA